CAGCTGAACAAGCCTTATTTTTCTGCTTATTGACAGCATTCCCTACATGGTGGATCCCCATCTTAGTTATACCAGTGAGAATTTGGAGCAAGTTCACTGGTTCAGAAAATTTTCATAAACTCTGTAATAACTATCAGCAAAAAATTGCCAAGAGTAGGAGTTATTGTATATTTTGATCCAGAAGAATGGCTGAAAATAATTATTAAGTGATACACCTTCATCCTGCAAGCAGTAAGAGTTGAATGAGTAACTATCTCTTGTGATTTCTTAATCTAAAGACCTAACCCTGAAGCTGCAGCAGATCACACTTTCCCGATAAGAAGTGCAGCAGTTGATGCACTGAGCCTCTGCACGGTGCAAAAGCCTGGGAAGATCACAGCTCTGTTACACTGGGCTGGTCCTTCCAGCACTCTGCCCAGAGCGGAAGATGCAGATTCCACCTCACAGTGTTGTTACCCAAACAACTTTACCCCCAAACTTAGTACTGCCCATGGTCTTCCCCTTCCTCTTGGCTGACAAGTTCATGCCATGGAAATAAGCGTCAATAACAAAATCCTTTCTTGCATCTTCTCTCTTTGGTGCCTTTTACTGTCACTCCAAGGGGTAGCAGAGAGCCCACAATATGAGTTTTAAGACTTCAGCAAAACAAAGTGAAAATAAAATCACATGCACAAATAGCTAAGCTGTGCTCAACAGTTCTCCTTCACTTACCGAACTCTATCCCTAGCCCTCTCAAACCAAAAAATTCTGATCCTTTCTACACACTCCCAACCAGCTAGCTAGCACAGAGATGCATCCACTTCACTAGCTTTTTTTCCATGAGGAAGAAGGCAGACAATGCTAGAGTATAACAGAAACTTTTATTCAAAGCACTACTTGTTGTAGCCCTCTCTTTAATTGTTACAATCAAATCTGACATTTTCACAGGAAGCACTTGAGCCACGCTTCAGCACGACAACACACGCTTTCCCATTGTGATTTAAGTTCTCCTTCTAAGGAAGGACACACACTTACATTACTAACACAACAGTTCACAGAAACACACCTGAACACATTTTATTCTTCCCAGCTCAAGTGTCTGTAGTAGCATAACCACAGAAACAGTAAATGCAGAGCAAGTAACTAAAGGTTCCTTGAGGGCTGAGTAAACGCTCCTCAGACTGCCCAGCCTGGCAAAGCTGAGCTGTACTTAACTGGCACCATGGCAGGAGTGGAGGAGAGAGGAGAGGAGCTGACCCCATGAGGTTATCAAACAGTTGTTTGGGCTGTTATCGGGCTGGGCATTGCCTCCTTTTGGGCATTTTACAGGCCTGACTTTATTAGTGCCTCATGGAAAAAACCCTGCGCACCCCTTTGCAAGCCAACACAGATGTGGTTTTATTGCCTTACTACCCTTGATTTTCCAGGCAGCCGTGAGTGTCTTTTAGGCAGACACTAACAAGCAGCACTCCTGCTGATACAGATATGACATGCTTAGATGAGCTAAGTAGTCCAACTTTTCACGAAGTGCTTGAAATTCTTCTATTACTACTCACCATGAATGGTACTTGCAACAGTTCAGAAGAATGAGTTTTTGCAGATAAAGATGTCTTCTTCATGTGTTTAAAGGAGGGCAGCAGAGCTGTCGAACAGTGAGGCTCAAGGCAAGGCTTAAGGATATGAATAGTACCGTGACTGGAAAAACACATTCGGTCTTGCAGAATATACCATGCAACCTGAAATGTTCTGTGAAGGAGTCTAAGGCCAGTATTGAAGAAAGCCAACATCATTCCCTTTGTCCCACTCTCTTTTTGGTTGTCAGTTGGGTTAGTTCTTGACCTAGGATGTCTGGTCTTTGATTCTGCTAGACGATCTAGATGCTTCGAAATTACAAATGAATTTATGATAAAACTAATTAATTATATTTTTAAGGCATAAATTGAAAAGCCATTTGAAATTTCACTGAAATTCCTAAAAGCAAAGACATTTCACAGTCTAGTATGCCTTACAGTCTTTCCTTGAAAAGAGGTTAGCTAATTCAGTCTAAATGGTGCAATGGCTTCTACTATGATTTTATGGTGAGGTAGAAACAAGTATTTCAGTATCACTAAAAGGGACTAAGCAAAATGCTCTGTAGGAAACGCCTCACTGACACTGGAAACTCCTTTTGGTCACCTTGTATAAAGGTAAGGTCCAAATATCTGTTAATCTTATAGGGAAATCCAGGTAAAGTTGTAAAGTTTCAGGCACTTAGACCATGTTTGGCCCCCAGATTCAACATGAGTGTAGGTACCTTTTGCAAAACTCCTACCAGTGCTGCAGCATTGAGTTTTCTTATCTCAACTGTACAGTGTGCTCTGAAATAGTAATTTCAGAGCTTTGCTTTTCCAGATGACCGTGCACATCATCCCCCCCGAAAAGCCCTTTTTTTTGTTTGATGTTCCCCACCTGGGCCCGATTTGCTGCATTTATCCTTTTTGCTCCAGGCACAGGCACATGTGCAACCCTCCTCTCTTCCGCTCTGAAAGCGCCCAAGCCACTTTCAGAAAACTCTCTAGAAATCTTCATCAAAATCAAAATGTCCAACAAATTATGCCACTGAAAGACATGTTCTTGTATGTGCTTCCTTGCAGTAAGAGGCATTTGTGGCTCCCCACCCAGCCATACAACATTAGCCTGGCATTTGTGTATTTTCCACATAGGATCTGAGCTTGTCTTCCCATCAACCTGTTAAGCGTGAACAAGCTACTGAAGCATTACTAATAGCCGAGTTTCAGAATGCGGTAGGCTGGAGTCAAGTGTCAGGGAAATGTGTGCTTTTCCACGGATGCTTTAATGGTTAATCTTTAACAGTTAAAAGGCTTTTAGATTAGAGTTCCTAAGAAAACACCTTATTTTTCCAAACAGGCTACAAAGAAAGGTGGGGAGGTTGAGAATCGCCAACGTAATATAAAATGGAGATGGAGGAGAGAGAAAAACAGGAGATAAATAACCCAAGTAGACAAAGCAGGGGAGGTTCCCTACAAACTCCTTCCATTTTACTGGATTTGTTTTTAAGATTGCTAAAACACAGCAGGATTTTCACACATGGAAAGTAAAGCAGCAATCCAGTTCTGCACCTGCAATCTGAGGGGAGGTGAGGCAAAGTTAATTTTAGCCATTTTGAACTGTCTCACCCAGTTGCCAAAGACATCCCTGCGCCTGTTTGACCCGTCTTTGCCTTAACAGCCCTGAGGGGCTCAAAGGCTGCAGACTCTGGTGGCTGTTGTGGTGCAGCCCAGGCAGGCAGAGATGGTGGAGACACAAACAGGGCTCTTTCTGCTGATTGTCCCTAGCTTCATCATCTCTGGTAACGCCTCTGTCTTTGGGAATAGGTGATAGCTCTGAGCGGTGTAACATTGGGTGGATTTGGAATGATGCAGAATACCTACTTACTTGCAGATATCTGCAGAGTCCAGTCAAGGAAATCTTCTATGCTTTGTGCAGCATGATCTTAGATTTTGTAAGATTTGAGAGAACTGTTATTTTCCTCAAAGCAGCTTTGACAACAGCTTTAAGCAAAGTTAAGCATATCTGTCAAGGCATTGTAATGCAATGTACCTTAGATATCCCCTGCATTTCTTGGTTAATTATCCTGTAATAATTTAGAATACACCTGTGGATGTATTAAAACCCTGTTTTGTTTTTTTGCTGATGTTAGCTGAAGGTTCACCTCCTATGTTAAACCATTCATATGTTTAATACACTTGTGTTATAATATCAAATGATGTGAGTCCTGGCACAATGAAGGGGTTAAAGCTTTAGTACAGTAGAAAGGAAGAGGAGTGGATGATGTGATCATGCAAAAGAAGCAAGGTCTAGTTAGTGTTTGTCAGCTATTGTCAGTTGCCCATTTTCTGGGTTAATGATGGCGTGGGACACCCACGACAACGGGACAGCATGGGATGCAGCCGAAAGCACAATGCAGAAACATCTCATGAATATTTAACAGGTAACCATAAATAAAGGTCTGACTCATTTTCTAAAGACATAGCGACAGAAATGAGTTTTGAAATCTGGTAAGAGTGAAAAGTTACAATCTGGGTAGACCAGCTTGGAGTAAGTAGTAAAAAGTAAAAAGGGTGGAGACAGTTGCTCAAGACTAAATGAACAAAGCTTATGCAGGCAGGCCAGGTAAGAATTACGAAATGTACTGAAGAGAAAGAAAAGTGATTTAAAGAGGAGGTGATATGATGGGAGAATAAAAGCGAAGGTAAAAAGAAGGTAAAAAAGCAAGTGTAAAAAGAGAATAGCAAAATCTTAGCACAGGAGCTATCTTAAAATTTGTGGCACCTTTCATTAAATAGGTGGCAGATTGGAAATGTGGGGGTAAGTGAAGAGGAAGCCATGCAGAAGAGGTGAGGGAATGAAATTTAGTGGACTCTGGGCACGGTCCACTAAAAAAAAGGCTAGGCCAGACTTTATGAATACAGGAAAAAGTGGTAAAATCTCGATGCTGGATGGAGCAGAGCTTGCAGCTCTGTATCATGGAGGCTGTGGGTTGTAGATGTGGTGATGGGAGACAAGGCATTGAGAACATTTTAAGAGAAATTAAGTAATTCAGTTTGGAGCAGTGAAACAGCATTTAAGAAATGATGGAGGGAAAGGCAGAAATGTGAATTTGGGTAAAGAAAGATCATGGAGAAGTAGCATCTACAAACGAGGATAAACAACAAAGCTGGCAGCTGGTTTGTATTGCACAAAGCTATAAAACCAAGAAACACTTTAACATGGCAGTTAGTAGTCCCGCTGATTTTCAAAGATTTCTGCAATACTTCAGCTATACTTTTATTTAACTAAGTCTCTTTTTAGATAAACCAGACCTTGAACATATTTTGTTAATGACTGTAAAAGTTTAAGAAGCTGCAGGTGACTGGGGAAAATAATGATGAACATAGGTCAACTATAAAATGAAAATAATATTTAAATGCTGGGTTTTTGAGACAACTTTTTTCTACTGACTTTAATGAACAAATGCTGCAAGTGTGTGAACTAATGAGCTGCTTCTTCATAGAAAAATATTGCACTGGGTCCAAGTGAGTTAACAAGCAGCTAGTGTTACTCCAGAAACTGCATGTATATGTTAACAAAGGGTTATGAAAAAGCTAATGAAACCTCCTTCCCATTTTCCTTATTCTGTGGGTGCAGTTCTGCTCTAACATAGCCAAATGGCTTTCAGATCAAAGCTCTCATGTTCTTCTGCTCAGAATACTCTCTGAACTGGCAAACCACTGTATGCACCTAAGCACATAGCTATGCCAGCTGAATGGAAATGGAGAAAAAAGGAGAGGATGGGCCGACAGACTCTCCAGAGAGTTTGGGTGATATTCCAAAAGCAGACAGAACTACTAATTTTAAGCAGAAGAGCTGGATGAATAATATTGTATGAGTAAAAGGCTGAGGACCTCAGTGTAGAGACAGGCCAGGATTAAGTCCTGGCTTGGAGAGCTGTGCGTGGGCATGGCTGTGTGCAGCAGAGAAAGGAGATGCAAATTAACAGCAATGATTATCAACAGCCTGCTGGGGAGAGAGGGAGAGGAGGAAGGGGTTGGGGATCATGAAATATTTGTATTTAATTGACCCTGGGTAAAAGCAGTAGGGATAGAAGGAAGATGGAGCAGTGTGAAAACTGTTGCTTTCACAGCTCCTGTGCACTGGCTGACTTGGAGCAGGATCTTCACTTCAGGGTTCAGGAGATCAGGGTGCTGCAGGAGCGAGCATTGGCCTTGGTGATGCACCACTGCAGCATGGAGGACTGTCGAACATGCACACCCTGTGCATCTTGGGGCACAAGCAGGGCTCTACCTTCCCTTCTATAAACTAGAATGGCTCTTTGTTTCCTTTCTCTGTCTTCATTTTTCTTGTGCCTGCCAACCTTAATGCTTGAGCAGTCTTGTGAATCACGGGACCACTTTCTACCCTTTGACTTGCATCATTTTTCCTCTCTCTGGCAGGAAAAATCTTTGCTGGTGCAGTTTTCAAGGCCACTGGAATATATAATAAGCATTCCTACTGATATGAGATGTACCAGTGAGACCTTATGCATGTTTAGGGCACACAGAGTAAGCCTCCTGAAATACTGAAACCTATAATCCAACACAGGGGAATTCTGCTAAGCAGGAATATAATTCTTACAGCCCAGAGTTCTGCATGTCTCATAGGTATCTACATTTAATATAGTAGCCCATCACTGAGTGTTATTTAAATTACTTTGATATCCTGCATTAGTCAATCTAAACTTTAATAGTTACCCATAGTGGCAGAACAGGATGAAGCAGCTGTTTCAAACATGCATGCAGGCCCTCAGGTAGATTACCTGTCTGCAAAACAATTAAATGTTCTGGAAACTTTCTTTATAAACAATGATGAATAGCATTCAGATGGCAAAGTTCCATGCAACTCTAGAGATGCATTTTTTTTCCTTGGGAAACAATTTATGCACTACCCTGGGAACAAGCAATACACACCAACTAAGTGCCAAATGTGACCATTTCCCACAGAAGATGTGCAGAACTGTTTGGTATAAGGCTCCTGTTGCACCAGTGGTGGTGCAAAACCACAGAACAGCATCAGACCATTTGGATACTGAAGGTGCTTAGCTTCAACTCACAGAGGCCATAATGCATCATTCAGGTACAAAAATACATTCTCTGGGCCATATACTCCACCTAGAAGAACTAGTGATGGGCAAAAGAAAAGAGCTTAATTCAAATCTGCTATTTTATAAAGTCCCCAAACATTTTTTCATGTTTGCTAGTGTAAGAATCATAATCAGCTGATTTCCTGGGGTGTTGCAGAACAGTGTAGGAGGCGATAGCAACAGTAATTAACTGTTGAGCAACACGAGACACTCCCTACTGACTGGCACAAAACATGAGAACTTGATATTCTTACCATACACCTACTGTTTGGTGCAACTTTTATCACAGCAAACATGGGCTCCCCAAACTGCTGCATTCATTCTGCCCTGTTGACACAGCATATCTACAGAAAATAGGAAAGGAGCATATTAACACAGCAACAAAGTAGTTTAGCCGTGGCAGTATTAAGCTCCATACAGGTGAACTGACACAGCATCCCAGCAAGGAACGCTGGCCTGTGGCGGGGTTGCTCATGTAAGCCAGAGTTAACATCTCTGTATTATGTTCCTGCCTGCAGAACAGATGTACCCTAAGGTAGGGGAAAGGATTCTCTCTTTTTCTCTTTTCCCAAGCTACTCCCCCCTTTCTTGAAATGGCACTGACAGATTAAAGATCCACTGTACAGACCAAGCTGTATTCATATGAATTAAAGTAAAACATTGGAGGCAGGCATTAATAGCTGCAGTTCCTTCAGAGGCCGTCCTGAACTACTAACAAAGAGGATTAAGAATCAACTTTAAATTTTAAATATAAATGGAGCTGGCTGGCAATGAAATGTAAGTTTATTCTTGCCAATGATCTCCAGCAAGAGCATTAATACATTTTTTCATTTATGATGAATGTTTTTTTGAGCTAACTTTACTAAAAATATTATTCTGAATTTTCTTAGAATGTTTTAATAATTCTCTTAGAGGCTAAGACCTGTATCTGATATAAAACAAGTATCCTGTTAAATAAATGCTTTGCAGTCAATAGAAAGGGAAAATGCTCAGTATCTTTCAAACATGGCTGCTGAGAACAGCAAAAAAATATTTTAATAACACTCCCTTTCTCCGCCCCCCGTGTTAATCTATTTTGTATTAAACAAAGGCATATCATTTTTTGTTGCTGAATAAATTACCCTATTCTTGCTTAAACATGTTACTCTAGATTATGAATGTATGGCTGCAAAAATAACTGGTTGGACTGATTTAAACTGCTGATTTTAATCTCCAATTTGGCATGAGGAAATTTACTATAAAAGCTCTTTAGGATTGCAGATACATCTCTGTCCCACAGCTGCAAGAAAAGGGTGTATTTGTAACCTTCCAAGTGTACAGAGCTCAGTGACTGACTGAAAGCCTCCTTTTTGGCACAAAGCTAAAATGCATAACCAAATACATCCTGGTTTCTATCTGCCTGAATTTGAAAGTAAATGGTGATAAAATGAAAATTAAGAACAAAGCTGTATGCCTATGCAATTAAAAATTCTTTCATATTTAAATAGAAAGCTGCATAAATAGCCCCAAATATTTTTTTTTCCACTCTCTTGGGCTTGGTGGAATTTAACAGGACTGGGGCTGGTTAAAGGTTGCCAGCATGGTGGATGACATCAGTTAGCTGTTGTCTGGGCAGAATGTGTGGGCTGGTGGGCAAGGTTTCACTACACAGCACACAGATATGATTAGAAGGGATGAAGCTGCGGGGAGTAGTTATGCACCCGCTTCAATTTATGGCCACTCAGTCATACCTTTTCATCCTCCACTCCCACTGTTTTTATAAAGAAAATAAAAGAAAATAAAAATAAGCAGAACATGGAAGAAGGCATGTCCATTTCATAACTCAGCTTTAACCACACAAAAGGACTTAGAATCATAGAAAGGTTTAGATTGGAAGGGACCTTTAAAGGTCACCTAGTCCACCCTCCCCTGCAATGAGCAGAGGGCATTTTCAAACAGGTCAGGTTGCTCAGAGCCCTGTCCAACCTGACCTTGACTGTTTCCAGGGATGGGGCATCTGCCACCTCTCTGGGCAACCCATTCCAGTGTTTCACCACCCTCATGGTCCAAAAATTCTTCCTTGTATCTAGTCTAAATCTACCCGCTTTTAGCTTAAAACCATTACCCCTTGTCCTGTTGCTACAGTACCTGCTAAAAAATCTGCCCCCATCTTTCTTACAAGCCCCCTTTAAGTACTGAAAGGCCACAATCAGGTCTCCTTGCAGCCTTCTCTTGTCCAGGCTGAAAAACCCCAACTCCCTCAGCCTTTCCTCACAGGAGAGGTGCTCCAGCCCTCTCATCATCTTTGCGGCTCCAACAGTTCCACGTCTCTCCTGTGCTGAGGACCCCAGAGCTGGATGCAGGGCTGCAGGTGGGGCCTCGCCAGAGCAGAGCAGGGAGGCAGAATCTCCTCCCTTGACCTACTGGCCATGCTGCTTTTGAGGCAGCCTGGGACACGGTTGGCTTTCTGGGCTGCAAATGCACATTGCCGGCTCATGTCCAGCTTTTCATCCACCAGTATCCCTCCCGAGTCCCTCTTGGCAGGGCTGCTCTCCAGCCCTTCATCCCCCAGTGTTGATACTGTGGGTTGCCCTGACCCAGGTGCAGGACCTTGCACTTGACCTTGTTGAACCTCCTGAGGCTCACATGGGCCCACTTTTCCAACTTGTCCAGGACCCTCTGGATGGCATCCCATCCCCCAGGTGTGTCAACTGCACCACTCAGCTTTATGTTGTCTGTGAACTTGCTGAGGGTGCACGCAATCCCACTGTCTATGACATTGATGAAGATACCGAATAGGACAGGTCCCAGTATCGACCCCTGAGGGACACCACTCGCCACTGATCTCCATCTGGACATGAAGCCACTGATGACTACCCTCTAGATGCAACCACCCAGCCAAGCCTCATTCACCAAGCAGTCCACACATCAAATCCATCTCTCTCCAACTTAGAGAGAAGGATATTGTGGGGGACCATCCCAGAAGCCTTACAACAGTCCAGACAGATGACATCTGTAGCTCTTCCCTTGTCTACTGATGTAGTCACTCCATCACAGAAGGCCACTACGTTGGTCAGGCAGGACTTGCCCTTGGTGGAGCCATGCTGGCTGTCTCAAATCACCTCCCTGGCCTCTGGGTGCCTCAGCATTGCTTCTAGGAGGATCTGTTCCATGATCTTCCCAGGCACAGAGGTGAGGCTTAACAGGTCAGTAGTTCCCAGGGTATTCCTTTCCACCCTTTTTGAAAATGGGCACATTGTTTCCCTTCTTCCAGTCACCAAGGCCTTCACCTGACTGCCATGACTTTTCAATTACCATGGAGAGTGGCTTTGGCACTTCAACACCTCAGGACTCTGGGATGCATCTCATCAGGTCCCATGGACTTATGTGCGTTCAGGTTCCTCAGGTGGTCATGAACCTGTTCTTCTCTTACAGTGGGAAGATCAGACTTTATTGATATGTTTTACATACTTCTGTTTAGTTGGGTATTATAAGCATTAGCTGCTCTCTACTGAAACCAATATACTGCCTTCAAGAACATCTCTAAGGTGTGTCAAAACCTCAACACACCTCTTAGTGGCTAAGTACCTGGCCAATATTCAAGCTCTCTTTCTTCATGGACTACTTCAACCATGTTAGTTATTATGTTTTACATGCCAAAAACATGTGTCTGTACAGTTCCCATGGTTTAATTGATATGCCCATAATTTGACTATGTATCTCAAACTTCATTTGTACTAAGCTAACAGTAAGCTTACCCATTCATTGTGGCAGATCCTAGGCCAGTGTGCACTGAAGAGCTTACAACTCTCAACTGTACACACTAGACCTTTACCTGTATTAAAAAAATGAGGTAGGAAGAAAACAGAGAACTATCCTCCAATAGTGCCAAAGCAAGTGGTGTTTTAAATATATTTGTATGTTGTGTGTGTATATATATCTGCGTATGTATTCATATATCTCTACATGTCCATTCAAAGTAGGATAAGGACTATAAAACGAGGGTAAACATAAGGGAAAAAACCCCTAACAGTCCATTCTACTGATGTTCCCAAATCCAAGAATTTTTCAGCTTTACAACGACAGGGGTCTTAAATTCTGGGCTCTAAGCTGCGTGAGCTGTGAGGAATTCACTCTTGAGTAAAAAAGCCAGATGTCTTGTGCAGTGAGAAGCCTGGCCTGACTACAGATCCAAACAATGCAAAAAAAGGTGGCAAAAAAATCCCTACATTTTTAGTCATGTCAGCCTGTGTGTAAGAGGCTGGGGATGATAAGCACATGATGTTAACTTGTTCTTCACAATACTTGGGAGTTAACCATATTTAAATTCTCATGTGCTAATGCTTTCTTCCAGATCTGTGTACAGGAAGAAAAAAAAAAAGAACCTGGCTTTTGCTTTTATGTCTCAATAGAAGATTCTTTCTGAGCCTCAAAACCTAGACATAAATAATCAGAGTCCTCTCTTACTGTCTCTACAGAACTCAACTTTCACTCAAGCTGAAGGCAGCTTGTCTTAGGCCCTCTGGATTTCTTCAGCTGGGCTGGCTGAGACTGACTCCCACCTCCATTGTTTCCTTAGGCTAGAAGGGAAAGGAAATTCTTTGATCTCTTGTAAGAACAAATAAATTCTTTTCCCTCTTTTGTTACCTGCTGTATCAAGCTCAAATAAAAATCTCTGCCTTGGCAGGCAAAGCAAGTCTTTTAAGCAACAGTCAATTCCCGGAATGGGCTGAAAAGATAAAAGCACTTCTCTATGTATTCTGGTACAGAATATGACTACTAAACCCCAGTACCACTACTGTGATAAAAGTACAGTCCATTCCAGTTTAAGCTCCCTCTTTAAGTTCTTAACTCACTTAACTGTTTTTAACAGGAATTTAGAATCCAGCTATCAGCTAGCTGCCCCTCAAGTGAGTAAGTTTGTTTTGACATGAACACAGCACCCTTTTTGACACCTGACTGGATTTTCAAATGTGGGGGGTTTTTGGCTGACATGAGGACAGGAAGTGCAGTTAAGTCTGTATGACTCTACTTGCTGCATTTCTGGTTCTGGAAGAGCTCCGATACTATAAAAATGCATGCTATAAGCACAGAATCAGAACTGGCATAAATGAAGGGGAAGACTGAGAGTTAATTATTGTATTTAACTTACACACAAGCAAGTGATGCACAGTTGCAACTGACATGGTTGTCTTAGTAGTTGGTTCTTTCCAGTGAAAAATAATACACAGCACACCTTCACTGTCCTTTAAAATTTTTCATTTAGAATATTCCATCGCTTTACTTAGTAATTAAGTACAGGCACCATAAGAATGAAGCAGAAGTAAAGTAATCTTGTTTCTAGAAAAAATTTAAATAATAAATTTACTGCATCTACAGAAAACTAGAAGTACTGAAGGCATGTCATAACATATATGCAATTATTCAAAGTAGAACCTTCACTGAAATTGGTGTTTGAGATGCTGGCTAGTACCAAGTGGTTTCAGACCTTGCAAACTAAACATCACCTATCAGCTACTAATGTTATATGGAAGGTTTGCAGGTGCTAGATTGCAGAATGTGCCTGGATTCTTGCCTAGATGACACACAGATGTTTATGATTTCCCTCACCAGAAACAACTCTCCTTCCAGCAGAGGACAACAGGCAAGAGGGAGAATGACATCATCAACTGGTACCAAAAGAGAATTTGGAAAGATTCCTGTGTAGAAGATACTAGCTGCTACTAGGAACAATAAGCCAGCAAGGCAACTAATGTCTATTTTCAATGGTTTGGTGCAGCTTCAGACACTAAATCAACAGGTGCCTGGGTGGATAGATACTTGGCCAAATAATCCCCAGCCCACCTCTTCTTGAGCTGAACCCAACATTGCATTCACGGTGCAACTTATGCAAAACTGATATGCAAAAAGTTATGCAGCAACAGTATGAAAATAAGCCCCATAGAAGTATAGAGGAAAGTTGCCACATTTCCAGATAGATCCCCATTCAGGATTCTGTCTGGAAGAATTCCACGGGATATGGTCCTGATAAGGAGGGTCCAGGAGAGATGGTTGATTTTCAAGGATGGTCACATGCAGGAAATAAAGTAACGGTGTGGAAGAATGTCTGCATGCATGAAAACAGAGCTCCCAGCAAAACTCAAGATGGAAAGCAGGTGGAAGAGGTGGAAGCAGGGAAGAATATAGAGAAACTACCTTAGCATGCACAGATGGGACCAGGAAAGCCAAAATCCACCTGGAGTTAAATCTGGTGAGGAATATGAAAAGCAAAACTAAAACCTACAGGTGTATCAGAAGCAAAAGGAAGACTAGGGAAAATATGGGCCAACAGCTAAATGGGGCAGGGGAATGGAGACAAAGGCCATGGACAAAGCTGAGTTACTCAATGCTTCTTCACCATGGCTTTTAGTGATGAGACTGGACTTTAGGAATCCCAGGACCCCGAGACCACTAGAAAGTCTGGAGCAAGGAAGGTGTACCCTTGGTGAAGGAGGATCACTTAGGGAACACTTACACAAACTGGACATACATGAGTCCATGGTGCTTGACTGGATGCACCCACTACTGGCTGCACCCACTACTGGCTGATGTTATTGCAAGTCCACTCTCAATTATCTTGGAAAGTTCACAGTAAGCAGGAGAGGTTTCTAAGGATTAGAAGAAAGCCAACATCACTCGTCTTCAAGAAGAAAGATCCAGAAAATACACATTAGTCAAACTTCCCTCCATCCCTGGGAAGGTGATGGAGCAAATAATGCTTGAAATCATGCTTGCCTTCTACAACGCGATGTCTAGCTTAGTGGATGAGGGGAGAATAGTGGATGATGTCTATCTTTACTTTAGCAAGGCTCCTGACAAGTCTCCGAAAACACCGTTATAGATAAACTGAAAAAGTACAGACTAGGTAAGTGGACAGTGAGACTGAAAAAATGGCTGAAGGGCCAAGCCCAAAGGGTTGTGATCAACAACACAAAGTCCAGTTGGTGGCCAGTTACTAGTGGCATACCCCAGGGGTCGATAGCGGGGCCAGTACTGTTTCACATCTTCATTAATGACCTTGATGATAGAACAGAATGTGCCTTCAATGAGTTTGCAGATGATACAAGACTGTGTGGATGCTTGATACACCAGATGGTTGTGCTGCTACTATTGAGCAGCACCTCAGACAGGAGAAATAGGCAAACAGGAGTCTCATAATGTTCAATAAAGGCAAATGCCAAATTCTGCACCCAGGGAGGAAAAAGCCCGTGGACCAGAAGAGGCTAGGGATCAGCCTGCTGGAAAGCAGCTTTGCTGCCCCAGCACTCCTGGTGGACACTAAAGTGACCATAAATCAGTAATCTGTTCTTGCAGCACAGGCAGCCAACAGCATGCTGGGTTGCAGTAGGAAGAGTGCTGTCAGCAGGTTGAGGGAGGTGTTCCTTCCTATGAAGAGAGGCTGAAAGAATTGTGACTGTTCTGCCTGGAGACAAAAAGCCTCAGGGGGTTCTCAGCAATGTGCAGAATGCTTAAACACTGGAACAGGTTTGTTGGTTGGAGAGATACTCAAAGCCCAAGTGGGCACAAGCCTGAGCAACCTGCTTTAGGTGACCATGTCTTAAGCAGGGAAGTTGGAGTAGATTATCTCCAGTGGTCCCTTCCAATATCAATAACTGTGTAGTCAAAGCACATGAAAAGGAACTAATTTGAGAAAGGCCATTCAAAAAAACAGGAGAGCTAATGCAACATTCCTACTTATGGTTTTCATTTTTATGACTTCTCACCTTTTTCAATAAATGTAATTTTTCTTCCTCTCCCTCTTTATAATATACATATAAACTATTCCCAGTGCACCATAAAGCTGGCGGGGTTTTTGCTGGTTTGTTTGTTTTAAAATAAACACCATTTATAGTCACATTGCAGATAACCAAAAAATGATTGAAAAAAGTAATGCATTTATTTATTGATAACTAGCTCTACGATTTACTGAGCACATTTTTAGAAATTCAAATGCATGTACTGCACTTGGCATATACAAATGATATGCATGATTACAACATCCTCTTCAAGACAAAAATAAAAATATGTAATCTTTCTTCAAATTCGTTCCCCAGTTTTTCCAATTCTAGAGGGAACAGCCACCATTAGTAATGAAAACTATCATTTGAAAAAAATAGAAAATCCTCTTTGCTATTCCTGGGAAGTGACAGTGTCAGGCTGGTCCTTAATTTCAGCCAAAACTTCTGGAATTCTTCCACCCTGCAGCTATCCACTTCATAGAGCAACTTAAAATTTTGAGTCTCTACCAGCAAATATATGCTATGTATTAAGCTGGTTTAATGACAACATTCCTTTGATATGTCCACTCCTCACTTGGTATCATTTTACAATGCTAGACTCTAGATTGATATAGAAACTGACAGCCTATATCTGTGCATCGGCCTTCCAGGAAAGTGGGGATCTTGAAGATGGAGATAGTTGAAGGGCTATTATGATTAACCTAACGCAAAAGTGAGAGGGAAAGGCAAAATAAAATACAGAAGCACAGTGAATTAGTTCTAAAATGCCTACTAATCATAGAAATAATACACACTGTACAGAGATTAAATTATCTTTCACTTATTTGTACAATATTTTTTCTTTTCGCCTGAATTTGTGGTCCTAGTATCTGCCCTGTTTTGGAAGGAATCTTTCTTCAGTAGAGCTGCATCTACATCTAGATGGAAACTCTAACTCAGCTCTCAGATTGGTGACTACACTATGTCTGAAGCACAAACTAATGACTGAGATGAGACAATAATCCCACAAAGCTGCACCCTTTCAAAACAGAGCAGGCATTATGACCACAAATTCAGATGAAAACAGTTTTGAAGGACTGCATTTGGTATTTCTAACTTGAAATGTGATCTGCTCTCTGATTTGTACTGTACCTCAAGCCTGTTTCTGTCCCGGAATTCTTCACACGAGAGATTCATACATAGAAGACTGATCTTAAAAACCTGCTAACAGGAACAACAAAAACTCTAAATAAACTAGCTTCTATTGTTAACTTTCTGGGACAGATTCAGATATTAGCTGATGGGGTCACCACAAATACTTGCATAGATGATCCCAGCTATACCTCTTTCTGAACTGAATGCTGCATTTATAGAGAAACACACAAAACTGAAAATGCAAAAGAACAGGCACAAAATCCTGTTGGTTCCCACAGCACATAAGCACTTGAAAATGGACGCAGTCTGCTCCATCTAGAAATTTTTAAAAATAAGCTGGAAGTATGCCTGAGCTAGTCCTCCTTCAGGCAAAATCCTCTGTATCATGTCTCTTGGAAACATAGGGATGCATTAGTGATACCAAAACCAATGCAATATTAACTGGTTCCAAGGGCTTTTATTTTTCCTTTATCAGCTGTTCAACAGTGAATAAAGTATACCAATGTGTAAAGGTAAGTACAAAAGTCAGTAAGTATGAAAAAGTTATCCTTTAGATTTAAGTGTAACAGTGAAGAAAGAACACAGAGAACAGTGGAAACTTACTTCTGAAAGACCTTGCTCTAACAGAACTCTACCAAAAATCCAGTTGTAATAAATCTGACAGTATCCAATTCTGTAGGTAAAGTCCATGAATGCAGTGCCTCAATGTCAATTTTGTATCAGCACATAATTGAAAGTCAGCCTTCATTATCACTGCTACTCCATGCGTCTTCATATGCTGGATTTAAGTGTTGTTGAGGCAGATTCTAAAGAAAATAAAAATTCTCTTAGTAGTTTGCCTAATTAAAAACAGTAAAATCAAATGAGGGCAATGCTAAAGGCATTTCTTAAATTACTATATGTAGACAAACTATTGTGTCTCTCATGGGTACTGGATTTTTTTTTAACCACTACTTGGCCATTCTGCTGATTAAAGACAGCCTAAATTATGAAAAGCACTAGTACTCTATTTAATTCTATTTAAAAAATACCTGGATCTCTGACTTGAAGCTTTACAAGTGTCTGGTATAAAATGGAGCAGATAGATGTTATTGTGTTTGTTCCAAGTCATTGGTTTTAAGTCTTTATTTCCCTGAGCACTACTGTCTCAAGAAGTAGTCCTGGCCTCTACCCACATCCAATAACTGTTTCTCACCTCAGCCCCCATAGGGTCAAGCTAAAGGGTTTGTGCAGCTACACAGTGCCCTGAATCACAGTTCTGACTTGGTGTAAAATTTTTTTCTTGTTCACTTCTATCCTGCGTTTGGATTCTGGTCTTACAGGCACTCAAATGGCTGTTCTAGCACATGAGATGGAGCAGGAACTAGAGGCCACTAGACAGCAGAACTGCTTCTTTCAGTGCTCATCTACAACAGTTGCAAACAACAGCTGTAGCTTAACAGATTTTAAAACAATGGCACATATTATATACATCCACCATGTCAATTTTAAAGGGGCAGTTCTAATCAGGGCTGGCTAAATAATCTTGTTGCTGTAGGTTTGGTTTTGGTTTTCAGACTAATAAAAAACAATTCACACACAACAAAATTCTCAGTTACAGCATGAAAGTTCATTTCAGGTCAACTGAAGACCTTTTGGGTTTAGGGTATCCAAGCTTTGCAACTACTTTTTTCTTTGCTGAAATGTAGTATAGTTTTCAAATAAGCTGTTTTACAAAGTAAAGATTACAGAAGTTTTATGCTCCTTATCATTTCCCCATCCAAAATGCAGTACTTCAGAAATTTTAAAAAGTAGAATTTTTGTATGCTATGAGCCAAAACATTAATATATCTTGGGTTTTTAACATTAATGCAGGTTGCCAGACTGATCCTGTGAATGGTTTCAGTTCTTTAAAATCTAGAATATCTCCCCCCTCAAACTGCTCACTGAAATTTTTATTGCCCAGCTCTTACACTAAGAGAGAGAAAGCAGTCTCTTGGAAAACAGTGTCACACATGATCTTCCCTGTAATAGCCTGAACATCTTGCCTCAGACACTAAAATAAGCCTGTTTAGAATCTTCTTTATTATGTTTTTGCATCAAAAATATTTGGGTATGAAGTGTGGCATCCCTAATCTTACTGTTTAATACACAGTATATTCTTAAACAATTTAAAATACAATGTTTGACACCTTTCCAATTCCAGAATAGCATAAAGTACAGAAAACAGTATGGAAATTAAGGAAGCTAAGACAGCTTGAAAGACTGATAGCTAAATGACAAATACTACTTTTAATTAAGTGAGAAGCTAGAAGTCTGCAAAAGATTTTACTAAACTATGAAAGAAAGTGTCCTCTCAAAACCCCACAACAATCAAAATACTGCACAGAAACAATAGGCAATTCTCCTAATTAGGAATCGTTACAGATTCTTATAATAAAACACATACTTCATATTTAATTTCACATGCACACCAAGTGAACAGCCATAAAAAGTATAGTTCAAATGCACAAATTCATTACCTTTTCAGAAACATTATCGGGAAGTGGCTCTTGAAGAGCCGGTATCCATGCAAGGATATTGCAGTCTTTGCTACCACTATAAAGTTCCTTTAAAAAAGCAAGCAAAAGTTACTTTTACACAAATCTAATGAATAGTGATGTTGATGAAAAAAGTTAATGAAATATTTATTTAAAAATAAAGACAAATAACAATTTCTAATTTGTACTATAATCTTGATAAACGGTATTTTAAATAAGAGAAAACAAAATTAGTAACTTTTTGTATTTTTCCCAGATTGCTCACCAAAACAACACTACCCACATTTGAATGAACTTCACTTCTTAAATGCACTTTTCTTCCCTCTCTCATTTCTCCTAAAGAGACACCTATTTTAACAGTTAGGAAACTTAAAAGACGATGTATGTTCAATGGAGAAGTAAGGAAAAAAAAAAAAAACACAAAAGATTTAAATAATATAATTAAAAAACATTAATAAACTCAAAAGCATCTAGTAATACACATTAGAAGAGTGCATAAGTATGGAACAAAGAAGTATTAAGTAAACGCAGTTACAGTATGCCTAGGGAAGGAAAAGAACAGATAAAGAACAATTTGAAGCCTGTATCCTGTTGGGAAGGGAGAGATCAGAAAGACCAATTTATTATTTTTAATATAAATAACTCTGTTATGGTAATGACTAAGGACTGAGATCCCATTGTGAGAGGCACCCTGCAAACACATGGAAGCAAACAGTCTCTATACCAAACAGCTAACAGTCAAACATAGCTTAGTTTTCCTAGCTCTTTATTAAAGGAAATAGACTGCTCTGTCACTTTAAACTGAGGAAATACCGCACCATCTTTTCAGTAAATTTTGCACTAATAATGCTTCTATTTTCTGAAGTGCTAATTAAGCACACACACATGAAGATATTCTCATATGCTTTCATTCTTGAATCATCCCCCTGCATATTATATGTCTGACAACACTTGAGTATTGACATGCATTTAAATTGACTGAGTGAAAAATATAAAGCATTTTTTCTGTATTCAGGCTGACAGTACGAAAGCCTTGCTTTAAGTGTGTTAGGTTTTACACTTAAACTAGCAACTCTGTGCACGTATGCACACTATTAATACATTGATTCAACAAAATTCAACAAGTTCAAGAAACTATAAAGTTCTGTCTTCACAGAAGGTCTCCTATATTATGCAGATTTAATTCTAGAACTGCATGAACTACACTGACAGTGCAGGAACTTAATGCCTAATTCCTATAAACACCCATTTATGTGGGTAATCAAGAGAGCTGACCTACTCACTTTTGAAAAACTGGTCCCATGCATGAAGTTATTAATGCATAAACCACATACAAGATCAGAATTTATATTTTTAGGAAAGAGAAATATCCTACTTATCTTGCTTAAAAGACGACAGGTCAAAGTTACACCAAGGTATAGGTCAAATCCCAGTTTATCCTGCCAGCAGTACTCCACTCTGGCATCCTGTCTTTGACAGGATACAGAATACCACTAGAATGTTAAAAGCCTCTTCCCAAGCCAAAACGTCTCCTTGTGAACAATGTCACAGTGACATCAGGATACTTCCACCTAATCTTTCATACCACTTGTCTCACTTTCCGATCCTGGCATTGCAAGATCTTCAGTCAATAACCACTGCACTGAGTAATACAATTAATTACTATAAGCCGAAATGGTGACTCATACCTTAAATCAGTCAAAAGAGCCAGTGAGCTTCATTCACGTTTATAGTACAATATAGGACATACACCTGTATTGTACTACAAACATGCTCCATGCATGCTTATGGTACAATATACAGAAATATGCTCTAAGACTCTGAGGAAAGATTATAAGTGAAACCTAATTTAACTGTCAGTTGTCTTAATTTATTAGCCTACCACTGGATTTGCCAAATACCTTTGCAGATGTCACTGGCATTTCTTGAACAACAGGAGTAGCTATAATTTAAAGCAAAATTGTTTTCTGATGCATACCTAATATTTTATGACATATTATTCGTACGAGAAACATAGGTTTTGTTTGTTTACTTAAATTATTTCAAGCAGCTAATATGGCAAAATGGTATCTAGCATATTAGATACAATACTAAACATCATCTAAGAGATTGCACAATGAAGATTTACTTTTCCACACCACCCTTGAAATTACTGACCTCCTATTAAATTAACGGCTCTTTATTAAAGGGCCAAATTCTGCAGTTCTTATTACTCAAGCAGACTAACTTTTTATTAACTTTACGGAGATACTTATGTAATAACACTTCAGGCCAACAATAATATAGTGGATTTTATGGCTCTATTCCCAAGATCTCAAAAGGCATATTATACGCAGATTAAATAAATCTCACACCACTCTCTGGAGACAGCTCCACACAATATCTCAAACAGAAAAGGTATTTCACACAAGCCTGCTAATTAATTTGGACATCATAAGAACAGATAAAGACTAATATCATTGGACTGCAAACAGCTAGTTGCTTCAGTGATCATATTTGATTATATAGTTCTGGGCAAACAGAAGCTGCTTTTCATTTCAAATAGATAATTGGTGCAAAGTTAAAGTTCCTTTTAGACCCTATTCCACTTATGAGGTGAAACAAAGATAGTGATTAAAAATACAGTTAATGAACAGAAAGAACATGAGGGACTGGCAGCAACCAGTATCAATGAGAAGTTTTGAACACAGAAAAAAATAGTAAGAAAAAATCCAAGTACCAGGTTTGGGAGTGGGTAGGACAAAAATCACTCAGCAGTGTTAAAGACAGCAGAAAGAGTTTAGAAGACTATTAATATGAAGAAAATTCTTAACAGTGACAGACTCACTACTAGATGGAAACTATGCAGAAAAGATGAGGACCTTCTTTCATGTGAAGATAATTTCAAGTGTGCTAATAGGTAAGAAAAATGTTAGAAAGCCACCTGCTAGACATATCCCGTGTAACATGCTCTAGAAGAACCTGCTTTAGCAGGGGGGCTGGACTCAATCTCCCAAGGTCCCTTCCAACCCTTGTGATTCTGTGATTTCACCAGTAGATGCATGACTTACATCAGAGAGACTTAGAAGAGTTGTCTAAGAAAACTTCTGGCTTGCTTAAGTTAATTATTGAGATACTACAAATCTGAAAGTAAGCTAATATGACATTCAAAAAAAAAAGAAAAAAGTGGAATGATACAGATACAAATGAGCTAACTGACATTTCCTTAATCCTAAACAAGACAATGGAAAAGGTGATTAACTCTACGGTAACTGAATTGTTTAAGATACAGGAATATAAACAACAGCAGTCAACAGTTTGCAACAATGCAGGTTTTGTCAAGAAAAACAGACTTTATTTATATATAGTAACTGAAATGGAAATGCATAGCTATGAATAATTTTGTATCACATTGATTTAATATTGCTTGCATGAGTAAAATAAACCAGGTAACTAAATTCTACAAATGACTGCATTCTCAGAAAACGAGTTTTAACTAGGAAATCATAATTTCTACTGTAATTATATGAAGACTTGTAGATGTCTGTAGATGAATCTACTTAATTGTCTCAAGACAGAACGAGCTATTTGGAAGTCTAGGTGTGAACACAAAGTAACTCTGACTACTTTTGGTGTTGACACGCTGATTATTGTAATCTTATTCCATCAGACTAACAATTTAATACAACTAAAAGTAGAGTATTTAAAGAAAAAGAAAAATCCAATCACACTTCTAGACTATAGAACTGAACTCTGGAAAAGGGGGATCTGAAAGAGAATCAGGAATCACAACAGATAGACAAATGAAGTTGTTGCCAGTGTAAACCTACAGCTGTAGAGACTAATGCAGCTCTTGTGTGCATTCTCACACACAAGCGTTCCTTTTCTAAAGATCTTAAAAGTCAAGGTAGAGACTTTTTATAAAGAGATATGCATTTCCAGGGCTGGAAGACATGATTTACAGTGAGACTTAGTGAGCCTCATCTCTTCAGCTCAAAGAAGACCAATAAATACACTAGCACTTTTGTCGGGAAACTATTCTTAAAAACTAATTAAAAACTAACTTAAAAACAAGAACAGTCCAGAAAAGATGCAGCTCAGCTATTATGTGAGTATTCCACCTCTCGGTGCATCTCATTGCCTCTTCATGCCAGAACTGTTTTCCAGGTCTAGCAAGGCTTATTAGCTTGGGCTCTACTGCCTCAATTGGTGACGTGTCCAAAACTTTCAGCAAAGTCCATCCCAGTGATAGGGAAACATGGTTTCAGACAAAGTTACTGGACTCAAAGCAAGAGCTACCAGATTCACTTCTATGATGTATTCTGTGAGAGCTTATGAAAACATATCCACATGCCCCAAATATTTCTGCCTGATATTTCAGAAACAAAAGACAAGAAAGGAGGAGCTGGAACATGAAGGTCAATCCTCAGCACCTGAGGGCAACTATATTAACAGCCTTAAAAAACATACTAACACCCACTCTGCTCTTGCCATACCACAAGCCCTAAGAACAATCTGCGGCAAAGCATCTCATAATAAATTAAGCTTTGTTACCCTTAAGACTTTTATTATGAGACAAAAATATACCAGGGGGGAGAGGAAAAGAAAAAAAAAAAAGGCAGAGGAAGAGGTAAAAAAAGGCTGTCAGCACCATGAATCCCTGTAACGCCATGGTATTTCTTAGGTGAAACGTTCTCAGGTTTAATTTAAGCAGCTCATCATGTTCTTAACACTTCATCCAAATTGTTCATAGATCCAGTGACTGGTATAACTACAGGCATTTGAGCAAGATTACCTTAGCAAGGTACTTGAGAGGTTTCTCAGTACTGACAGCAACACTAAAGCACTTCACGTAAATGCACTTCACATTCATTCTTACTGTGATCAATCTTAGGCATATCCTCCTCAAGTCTTACAGAAAACAGCAAAAGCCTTAATACATACAATTTATTAATGACAATATAAGCCAAATAATTACTGTAGGTATATTGAAAAGCTAACTATGTGAGACGAAATGAATAGTGGAAGGAATCCAATATAGAAAGGCCTGCCCCAAGAAACTGATCAAACTTTTCTTGCTTGACACTTATGTCATATGTCAAGATCTTTGATTAAAGCACATGCCTGTAAAGTTAGCACATTTTGTGCAAATGGTTCGGCAATCTGCATAAATATTCCAGGTTGTCTGGAATATTGTTTGTACTTTACTTACCTGAAAATTACATTGAAACACACAGCAGTTGACAGTACTATAATGCCCTCTAAGCATAGTTATCAGTTCTCCTGTGAAAATTGTATAAACAGCAATGGTACCACCATACGGTACAAAGGCAAACTCTGGATTACAGCCACAAGAGATGGTGAATTTGAGCCCTTTTCTACTTTCATTATAGACTTTCCCATAATTCACCTGTAAAATGAAGGATTATGCAGTTAGCTATTAATGAAAACTACAGGAAATAACTTTCATGTAAAAGAACAATTTAATTTCATCTTTAATACCCAATAAAATTAATTTTAAGCTTTCCAACGTTAATACAACTTTCAAGACTTCCAGTTACAGATGTCTATCAAGAGAATCATTCTTCTGTTCATTAAAGTTCACTCACCTTTATAGCAACTTTAAGAAAGGGAAGGAAAGATATGCCTAGAAATCAGCAGTTCCACACTTAGAAATAGAATTTGCACAGGCTGTTGCATGCCAGACCTACCCAGAGCACCTAAACAATCACTGAAATTGGAAGTGGTTCAGGAATTAGTGCCTTAAACATTTTCCCAGAGTATCAAACATAATCATTTTCTCTCAGGTATTGCAACTATTGAAAGAACACCTTATGCACAATAGTATGCGGTTATAAATCATATAATAGTTTGGGTTGGAAGGGACCTTTAAAGGTCACCTAGTCCACCCTCCCCTGCAATGAGCAGAGGGCATTTTCAAACAGGTCAGGTTGCTCAGAGCCCTGTCCAACCTGACCTTGACTGTTTCCAGGGATGGGGCATCTGCCACCTCTCTGGGCAACCCATTCCAGTGTTTCACCACCCTCATGGTCCAAAAATTCTTCCTTGTATCTAGTCTAAATCTACCCGCTTTTAGCTTAAAACCATTACCCCTTGTCCTGTTGCTACAGTACCTGCTAAAAAATCTGCCCCCATCTTTCTTACAAGCCCCCTTTAAGTACTGAAAGGCCACAATCAGGTCTCCTTGCAGCCTTCTCTTGTCCAGGCTGAAAAACCCCAACTCCCTCAGCCTTTCCTCACAGGAGAGGTGCTCCAGCCCTCTCATCATCTTTGCGGCTCCAACAGTTCCACGTCTCTCCTGTGCTGAGGACCCCAGAGCTGGATGCAGGGCTGCAGGTGGGGCCTCGCCAGAGCAGAGCAGGGAGGCAGAAAGTGTTGATACTGTGGGTTGCCCTGACCCAGGTGCAGGACCTTGCACTTGACCTTGCTGAACCTCCTGAGGCTCACATGGGCCCACTTCTCCAACTTGTCCAGGACCCTCTGGATGGCATCCCATCCCCCAGGTGTGTCAACTGCACCACTCATCTTGGTGTCATCTGGACACTTGCTGAGGGTGCACTCAATCCCACTGTCTGTGTCAGTGATATTAAATAGTACTGGTCCCAATACTCCAAGGTTTTAGTCCACAGATTAAGAAAAATTGATCTACATTACCTTTTATATTCTAACTGCCCTTTGTTTATCAGAGTTGACTGATGTTACAGGAAACTACATTTCTGAAGTGTACATGCCAGTAGGATGGCAAAGAACAGAAGCATCAGCTTAGACAACGCAAGAACTAGCCCTAAGGATTTGTCAGCGTCATCCCTTGGTTCAGGGACGAAGGAACAGAGGAAACATCTG